ATCCTCATCTGTAATTTCAAATTATCATATTATTATTTTTTTTAATAAACCAAATATACTTTTTCTTTCTTTATGCATGTTATAAAATTTAAAAAATGTAATTACCAATAAGATTTTTTTGACAGAACAGCGGAAAAAAAGTTACAAATTTGTTTGAAAACAGTAAAACAACCTACAAACCAAATAGATAAACCAACAACTCGTCGTAATATGACTTGCGCCGGCTACCTGACACATTAACTGATATTTTTTACACTAAAATTCCGAATGACCGGAAGTGAAATCATAAACCTTCTGACGCGGATATCTCTCGAATCCGACATTCGATCGGAAAAAGGATAACATTTATCCGGTCAGTCGTCGAGAAGGAATCACGTGATATGATTGTTGTGCGATCGATTCTGAACACCCCGTATAAAAATATGTTCGTAATATAGAGGGGGTGCAAAAGTAAATATACAGTTGAGAATCTGAGAAACACAAATGTTTGTTGTTCATTATTATTATTTTTATTATCTTTTATAGATTCATATTCCTTATTTGTGATTTAATTTGTGCATAAAACTATATGTTTTTTCTTCGTGTTTTTTTTTTATTTTTTCATAATAACAACTGTATATCTACTTTTGCACCCCCTGTATATACTATTTTATTTTCATGAAAAAAACATAGCAGTAAAAATAGTAATGCAACGTGTATATTTTGAATTATCCTAAAGCGCTTTATGTGTCAGCAACTGCACGTTTTCATTATAATTAGTAATTGCACATCAACTAATTAAGTAAACAAATTACCAATTTAATCTCTAATGAGATGAGAAAGCCGATATCCATTAACATATTTTCAACATAAATGACACAACTTAATTTAAAGCTGTACAATAGACTTCTTTATCGAATAAGCAGTTCGCTTTTAAGAAGTGTTTTAGATATCGAAAACAAACGTCATAAAATATCTGAACGGCTGCAAGAGAACACAGTGGAAACAATACCGGTATGTCCTACACAGAAAATTCAGTACCTTCATTTTTAAACTAAAGGTTTTATATGAACAGTGGAAAGTTTCGTTTAATTGATAAAACGAAGAAAGGCCATTACATAAAACAATGTCGCGCGAACACAAGCAGATATGTTTGGATCATATTTTAGCGCCAATTGTGAATTCCGCTAAAGTATCAGGAATGGATTTCTGTATTCGATGTAAGTGCGTGTCTACAGAAGAAAACTCGCAGAAACACAATTATCTTTCGTCGTTGTTCGCAATATACAGCGGTGCCATCGAGGTATTTCTCTGGATAATGGCATTACTTCACTTAATAAGCTTATACGAAACGAATTTATACGGTTTGCGGGTAATTCATATGTTCAACGATCACGCTTTATCAGCAGCAGTTTTCTTGGCTTTCTTGTCTATTTACACAGCCGTTCAGTTTAGTATTTTGAAAAGGAGCAAGATTTCACTTCATTGCGTCATTAGTAGTTACGAAGGAGAATGGAAATTAACTGACCGCATACAAGTATTTGTGATCAAATGTCTTTGTGTTTTATTTTTCATGTTACAGTTGTTAAATATAGTGATTACTATTGCTTTTTATAGAACAATAAAGCAACTAAATGGTACAGATACGGAAGCCTTCGTTTGTGTTTTCATGTATTTAGTTTGGTTTTTATATATTGCAGGACAGAACGCATCGCTTCTATTAATATGCGTGATATTACTTATGACTGTAGATAGAAGATTGATAAATCTGTCATTAGAACTACTGAAATTAAACACGAGACATTTGTCCTTGTTAGAACTGAATGAAAGAACAAATACAATTAATACGCTGATGTGGAAACATCAAGAACTTTGGGAGTTCGCCGAAATGATTAACGAAAGATGGAATATATATCTCCCGTTTAACTACGCTTATTACCTGCATGCTACTTGTTTCCTTCTGTATGCCGCATTATTTATGAAGATGGAACTGATACTGAAGATTTGGGTTTCAATCTTTTCTGCCTCAAGTCTTTCATTATTCATTTTAATTAGTTGGGCTTTAACTTACTGCATGATATTGGTAAGTATTCAATACTCGTTGGATATCGATATAGAATAATTTAAACAATCACAATTGTGATGCAAATCTTTCAAAAATTTATACTCCTAAAGCATGAATGTTCTGAAGCAAAAAAACAAAAAATCCGAAATAAACAATTATTTGCGCGTTAGTTTCATAATTTATTCACATCATAATAAAACATTAATGATATTTTTTATTAATAAAAATGCCACGAATGTTTAAATGCTGTTAAATTCCAATATTAAGTTCTCGTCAGAAATAAAAATAATTTGAAGAATTTTAATCGCTCTTACAACGCAATTAAAATTTGTGTAATTAACATAATAGATAAATAAAGATAATTATTTTTTTTAAAGATAATAACAATTGTTCCTTTATGTTTGAATTTAATTTGAATTATTCAGACAATGATTATTTCTATAGTGAAATGGCATCAAATGAAGACATTTAAACAAATTTTTAATTTTTTACTTTTCAGATGTACGACAACTTTATAAGTATTTTATTGTTTAAGTTCAAGGTAATGTGTTCTACTTTAATTTATGATTTGTTTTAACATAATTGTAAGGTTGCCGACTTCAAAGGGGTGTACGTTTTATCCCGAGTCAGAATGAGCCTAAGGGAAACCGCGTATGTGGGCGGTGGCGAAGGAGGTAAATGAAAAACAAGTGTTTTACAAGAGAAAAACCCGTTTATTTGTTTGAATTCATGCTTACATCGATATTGGACAATTCCAAAATTTCGGTGTTCCTATGAAACGGTGAAAGTTCCGGTGTTCGGTCGGACGAGAAGGATCGTTGGACGTTGCAGATGTTCGGTGTTAAGCTGCGGCGTATTAGGTGATGGGCGATAGCACAACACAATAGATAAAGCACAACTGTAGGCTTAATCTAGAGGAGACTCTTCTTCGACTTTAAAGTTCCGATTTTTATAGTTTTTCTCCCATTATTCGCATTTCGGATTGGTCCCTCGTCCCATTCCTCGCTTCTCGATTGGTCTCTCCTTTGTCTCCAGGTGCAAGACGAAACTTTTCGGGTCGCGGGAAAGGTCCGATTCGAGGTGTCCATCTGATACCTCTTTGTCGACTCTGTTCCGTGACTGTTCCGTGACTGTTCCGTGACTCTGTTCCGTGACTGTTTTATAAACAGTCACGGAACAGAGTCGACAATATAAAACAATAACACCTTCACTCATAACTCAGGCCGTTGTTTATACCATTTTTTTTGACGTCTAAGAATTTAGCGATCATTTTCATCTTTCATCTATCAAAAATTCCTCTTTTTTCGTTCGAAAAGGTTTATCTCGGCCAACATTTTATAGACTCGCGAGTCAACGATCTACCTATTTATGAGCGCTCGTGTTAGAGTTTGTCTTCCGCTAAGATCTTGACAGATAGTTTGATACATACTCGAACAGTTCCGAGTCTCGTTGTTTACATCTTGTGTCGCGCAAGAATTTCACGGTTTACTCGAGTTTGAAACTTGTCTGGGAACCCACATAATTTATGCAAATAGAAAACAGTTTCATACGTTGAATGAAATTAACCATCAGCGAGTAAACTATATTACTAAGAATGTTTTTATTGTTATTTCTATACAAATACGTGCTGTATATCTATAAGATTAGCGTTTGCGTCTTAATTATAATTAACAAAATGATGAATTAACTCTCCATGTGCTATATTTAAATAATATTCAATTACTTTTAAATTTCTCATAAGGAATGAAATTTTGTGCCAGACACAACTTAGCATTGTACAAGATTTTTCTAATATGCACTAAAATATCATCGTATGTTAAAAGTANGTTTTTATTGTTATTTCTATACAAATACGTGCTGTATATCTATAAGATTAGCGTTTGCGTCTTAATTATAATTAACAAAATGATGAATTAACTCTCCATTTGCTATATTTAAATAATATTGAATTACTTTAAAATTTCTCATAAGGAATGAAATTTCCTACCAGACACAACTTAGCATTGTACAAGATTTTTCTAATATGCACTAAAATATCATCGTGTATGTTAAAAGTATAAGAATAAGAGTAATAAATCATACAGTTTAAAAATATATTTTATAACAATGCCAACACCTTATGTTTCTATATTCCACCTCATTTGATGTTAAACATATACGACGACATTTTTGAATTTTCTAATGTACAGTACATAACGCTTATAACATTAAGATCTTTACAAAACCAAATTTCCTTTCGTAAGAAAAGAAACTACGTTTATTAAAATCTCCATTTTTTTTTCTCTCTTCCAGGTCAACGATTTTATGAAGAGATTTGGAAAGAATCCAATTGGTATTTCCTGTGCTGGATTCTTTTACGCTAAGAGAAATTTTATCATAAGAGTAAGTATTAATTAAGAATGATTATTACCAATAGTTCACGCAGCGAAAGACTAGATATGAGTCAGCTTGTGATGGAAGGGTCTATGGCAGAAGATAGGGATGGAAGAAGACGTATGATTGAAGTGTGAGTAACGTTTCAATTAATTAAGAGAAAGTGATAACATTTATTTAACAAAACAAAGCAATAATATGATGATAGAGATGACATGGAAATGTTTTAGAAATGTAAAAAAAAATCAAAAACAGCTGAAAGAGATTAGATTAGTGTGTCCACTCTCAAGGGGATAGCCGCATGTCTCTTTCCATCTCTTTCATTTGACATACACCCTTTTTAGCTCAGGATGACTCATGTCGACATTCTTGCTGAGCGGATTAAAAATACAATGCTTATGATGATAGCAGATAACGTTGTTGAAAAACATAAAAACGCTCACACATCTATAGAAATTCCCAAAAGTTTAATGAAATTCAATTCTTATTTCAGGTACTAAGTGCATTATATTCCTTTTTTTCTTCTATTGTTCAAATCTCTGGTGTATTGCAACGTGAAAACAAATGTCTTGCGAAGTACGGAAACAGCACAAGAGCCACACCCAATGCAACTATCATAAATTAAGTTAATCGATTGATTAGGTAATAAAATTACAGAATTTTAAAAACTTTCTGGTCATTATTATATATTTTTACTTTTAAATGGCAGGAAATGAGGAACCTTTCATTAAATTATAATTTCCAGGAAGTTCGAAGATAGAAAAGTAAGAAGTGAAGTTACAAACGTAGCATTAAGGATAGTATAAGTTTAATGGAATGTGGCAATGCAGCATGTGATCTGTCAAGGGTAGGGTGTTCTACGGGAAACTGGTCATCATTTACGTATTAGACACATGAAAAAAAGAAAAATCAAGTAAACTCCTAAACGTTTGATGGCAAGCCGTAACTTGGAGTGCAACTTTCTATTATTCAAGGTCCGTTTTCCCTATAAAATGTCGATATTCTTAAATACTACAATAGCAGCGTAGTAGAGACGGGCAATCCAGTTGCACATCTAGAACTGAAATTGAACTGTTCCGAGTGGGGAACAATTCCGAAACTCAAAACTACTTAGGACATGTTTTATGAAATGAAACCAGCGAATACAAAACAATATTTCTTTATGTGTAAATAGCTGAAGTGAAACATGAAATCATTTTACTGTCAATGTGGTGTAACAAATAAAATGATATTTCTGATCGTCTTTCAATATATGTATATTTATTTATAACGAGCAGTTATTTATTGTGGCATTGTCACAATGTCGGGCTGTAATTTTTCCATCTAGCATCAAATATATGCTTCCCATCTGAAATTAGTACTGGCTTGCCCCTATACATCATACTTTTCGTTTAACATTAGAGTCGTGCCGGTTATCTCTAATACCTTTCCCGGAAAATTTTAAATTTAAATAACGTGACTTCCGGTTTGCATTGGGAGTTCTTTTATAGTTAATGGGGCTTTTTGGCCCTATGGTTTCTATATCTGGTTTCGTCTTTCATCTATCTAAATCCGTTCTAGAGATTAAGGAAAGACAGACAGGTTGACGGACGGACGGCAATGGAGATTTATAGCTCTGGAATTTTTTCAGATTGAAGCCCAATTACTTACAATATTGAAAATGCGTTACCATAGTAATGATTGATGGAATTCATTGCTCTTATTTAAATAACACTATATATATATATATATATAGCGTTATTTATATATAAATATATATAAATATAAATATATATGTGGAATGTGAAACGCGATCTGCTGACGAGAGACGAAGGGGCTGGGAGAGGGAGTCGGGGAGAGGGAGGACGACGAGAGCAGAGAGGGGACGCGACTTCAGAGGGAGAACACCGAGACGACGGTTGAAGAAGAAGACGCGCGAAAAGACGAAAGACGAGAAAGAAGTCCTACATTTGTTCTTTTTATAATACTCACAATATATTTTTATGTAATTTGTATTCCTTCAAACGTTCCTGTTATCCACATCTTTCTTGTTTCAATTAAAGTTTTTCAAAAGACAAAGAAAAGTCTCACAGAAGTAAGGGCTCGTCCGGGATAGGAATAGGCTTGGATGTGGGTTAGGCCTAACTCGAAGAGATTTGACGAACTGTGCTTTGGTTTTGTGAGTACGCTGGACATTTACGGACATTTGTGTTTTGTGAAAAGTTCGACGTTGGAGAGTCCGAATACATTGACATTCTGGAAGGACTTCGACTTACGTTTCGGCAAACCGTGAGTAGTTTTAAAATTCTACTTTTAAGATGGCGACGCTCGTAGAAATTATCGGTGAAACACTAAAGTCGGCCTCAACAAGCTCAATAAAATTGTTGCATCAACTTGTGTTCAAAGAGGTTGGGGATAGGAATAACAGAAAAAGATTGAGAACCTTTGGTGGGTTCAATTTTCCATCCAAAGAGGACGAAAATCTAAAAAAGAAAGTGCAATATATTAATGAGAACTTT